TCCTGCTCCCCTCCAAACCTTTCCTTTCTTCGGCTCTCCCCAGGGGGAGCCATGGCCTTCCCCCCCCCCCTCCCCTTCCCCCCCTTACCCCCCCCCCCTCCTTTCCCTTGTTCCAATTCTTCCACCCCCCCCCCCCCGGCCCCCCCCCCCCCCCAAATCTCTTCACCTCTCCTCTCCTCTCCTCTCCTCTCCTCTCCTCCCCCCTCCTCTGCATCACCTTCCCTCCATCTTCTTCACCTTCACCGCGAACATGTCGTACGCTTCGTACGCCATGGCCGCCGGGAGATGAGGGTGATGAGCTACTGGACCCCTTGACGAGTTGGTCGTAGTGGTGATGAGGGTATCCGAAATCCGATTAATGGAATCCGGTAAACGTAATTTAAATTAAATAATATTTTTCCTCCTGTGGCTGGGGAAAGGGAGGGGTGGGGTGTGTCAAGGACAGATGTCCTTCAATGATTCTACAGTGGGTGGGGGTGGATCAAATTTTCAGAGTTCAAGTCTTAAGAGGGGGTACTTCTAGGAAATCATATGGGTACATTTTTCGAATTCTACAAAGAGTGGGTAGGGTAGCCTCCCATTCGGATTTTGCGGGGGGATATCAAGGGGTAGGGTACTAATGGGGGAAATTAGGGGGTAGGGGTGATAAATCCACCTCGGTCAAGGCAGCTGCTTGTCCATTTCACTGGGTAGGGTATCAAAGTTACCGGTATATTTGACCATACATTCAGTTTAAACAAGGGGGTAGGGGTACTTGAATTTCAGTCTGTCATGATAGGGAGACGGGGGGTGGCTGCTGGTCCATGAGGACTCCGAGGGAATGAGGCTCACCCCCACCCCCCTCATTCTGTGGTCAAATTGGTTCTGCTATGTGCAATCATGGGGTGGGGTATATCTTGGAGGGGTAGTCCACTTCATGTGCCCATTTTCCCACTTAATTGCCTTGTATTTGAAGGGGGTACTCCTGGATATTAGAACAGATCACCCAGGGTAGGGTTCTTCAAGTAGGGGTATCGTAGCAAGCAGTCTAGAAGAATGGGGTGGGGTTGGAGAGGCACGTGTCTCATTCAAATTCAAAAGAGATTTGTACCGGAAAAACAATTGATTCTTAATTTGTACCTACACCATAGATATTTGGTACAGTTGCTACTGTCGAAATACAAAATTTATTTTTCAAGAACTTGGTAGTTATATAAATTTTTTGAAATGATTTGTACAATATTCATACAGAACGTACCTTAATTTCAATAGAAATGTTTATATCTATAATATAAAATAAGTACTGGTGACTGGTTTTCTTGGTAGAAATTTATAGAACTGAATTAGGTCGTATGCAAGAGCTGAGATTTGGTATGTTTTAAAATATGTTTTAATTTTACTACTGAGAAGGGCCATTCCAAGGGAAGTTGGCGGGTCAGAGAGCCCGCAGAAGGAAAGGAAGACGCCAACTGGCAGGCCGAGAGTGGCGCGGGAGACAATATGCATGGCGGGAGAGCGGCACGGGACGTGGGGCGGGGAAGGAGGAGAGGGCAGGGAGGATGAGAGCCCGGGAGAGGAGAAGGAGATGATAGCGGGAAGGAGGATGAAGGTGAACCATGGAGAAGCAGATGAAGTTGTTGTAACTGGTATCGGTGTAGGAGGCGGATGGTAGGTGTAACCACCACATGTCACGAGCGGGAAGGAAATCGAGCGAAGAGCAGCAGGAGGACAGAGGAGTAGGCCAGGATCGATAGGATAGCACAGCGCGATGGAGATGGAACGAGAGGGAGGGCAGGAAGGAGAGAAGAGCTTGTACGAGAGAACGAGGTGTATGATCTCGCTTCCATGACGTGGTGTCCAGCGCATGGAGGATAGAGAAGGAGGGGATGTATCGTGCTGGTTGAGGAGTGTGCAATGTGTGTCTTGTGTTAGTATGAGGCTAGAAAGGTTGAAGAAACTCTTGGATGTACTTCAACGGTCATAGTCATGCAAGTAGAAAAGTTTTTTGCGCCATTACGACGAAACATGGAGGAAGTGTAGGACCTTCTCTTAGATTAGATACATCGTATCGTTGAAGGAGAACGTGATAGAAAGCTTCTATCTTCATTTGCAGCTGATTACTCGCATGCTTGATGTGTGAGGAAAATGAGGTTGTTGATGTGATCAAAACAGACCTTGTGGATTGATGTAGATATCCAGAGTGGCAGTCGATGGCAAAGAGAAGTAGAGAAATTGTTGCATGGAGGAGAGGAATCAGTGCAGGGCACGTATGTTCAGTGTAAACATCAAGCATGTTAGCTGAGTGAGAAAGACGAGTAAGATTTGTTTGTGCATTTGACCCTACTTGGAATTCCATTTAGTTGACTCGAGATCCGTTTGTTGTGAAAAGGCTGATTTTCTACAACTTCTCGATATTTGCTTGTTCTGAGATCAGTATCCCTCTTTGACTTTCGCAATTCTCAATTGCCATAGAAATCATGTTTCATGAACTTGTGTTCCTCACTGACGCTCCGGTGTCAATTATGCATTTTGTTTGTGTTTGGAGTTGATGAGTTAAGATGGAGTTTTTGTATTGGTTTGCGAGTGTTCTCTTAGTTTTACCTGGAGGAGTTCTTGATTCTTTTGAGGACAAGGTGGACGATTTCTCCCCCGACCCCAGCAAACAACTCTATGGATGTTGGAACTAAACATGTTGATGCAGGAGAATGGAGGGAGCGCCACAATTCAAGCTCCTGCTTGTTGGAGATGGCGGTGTTGGCAAGACAACATTCGTGAAGCGCCATTTGACTGTGAGCATGCCTCTCCTCTTCACCGTTTCACCTCCCCCGCTAACTTTCATGTCGCGCAGGGTGAGTTCGAGAAGAAGTACATAGCAACAGTGGGCGTTGAGGTACATCCTCTCCTCTTCCACACAAATCGTGGACCCCTCGTGTTCAACGTGTGGGATACTGCGGGACAAGAGAAGTTCGGTGGACTTCGTGATGGTTGGTCTTGACCTCGACAGGAGGGCTGAGCTGACCGCCATGCAGGGTATTACATTCAGGGTAACTGCGCGATCATTATGTTCGACGTTACTGCCCGTATGACGTACAAGAACGTTCCCAACTGGCACAGAGACATCGTCAGAGTTTGCGAGACCATCCCCATCGTCCTCTGCGGCAACAAGGTACTCGCCATGACGCGGGAGGCGCGACCGCTAACGAGGTATCAGGTTGACGTGAAAGATCGTAAGGTCAAGACCAAGCAGATCAACTTCCATCGAAAGAAGAATCTCCAGGTGACGAGCGTGTGACCAGCAGCGTCCAGGTGACCTGATAGCTTTCTGCAGTACTACGAGATCTCGGCTCGCTCCAACTACCAGTTCGAGAAGCCCTTCCAGTGGCTGGCCAAGAAGCTTGTCGGAGATCCCAACCTCTACTTCGTTGAGTCTCCCGCTCTTGCTCCTCCCGAGGTTGCGATCGACGAGGGTATGATGAGACAATACACCTTGCAGGTACCTCCTCTCCTTTCTTGTCCACCTCGTCTCCTTCTCATTGATGCTTGTCTCACTGCCTCTCTTAGTTGGAGGAGGCGAATCAAATCGCTCTGCCCGACGAGGACGATTCCGATCTTTAGATTGACTGACTGACATGTTCATTGCCAACAATGGCTTCTCTCATCGTGCCTTGGATAGCTCAGATGTGAAGTTTTGGGATCTTGATGGTGTAAAGATTATGACAAGGTGAAGAATGAGAAAACGAGGGCCTTAAGGGTTTTGCTTGTTTTTCTGATAAAAACAAGAAAGAAATCTCTGTGATTCTGCGTCTCCTTTAAAGTTTACTGCACCTCCCTCACCCACTTCACATCTTAAAACATTCATCTTTCCTCTGCTCTCCATCAGATTCCTTCAGTCCTTGCACTGATTCCTTTTCCTTCCTCCACCTTCCTCTAGATGTTGTTGGGCGTCGGGACGGGGGAGTCGTCGTAGTCATCCTGCAGCAGCTGCTCCATGTTACCTCGTTTTCCTCCTCCTCCTTCTCACCTGATCCGCCAGCGCGAAGTCGTCGTTCTCTCCCGTTGACAACCTCGAGTAACCATGAGCCTAAACAGGTTAAGCTCAGTGAAGGGGAGCGGAGAGGGAGGGAGGCGAGGGAGTGGTGGCGGGGAAGTGAGTAAGGGAGGGAGGGAGGGAGGGAGGGAGGGAGGGAGGGAGGGAGCGAGGGAGGGAGGAAAAGGTTCTTCTTGTACCCGTTGAGACGGCTGGAAGGACGAAAGCATCACCTCAGTCGCTCCTCGGATCCCTCGGCCCTTCAGGAACAGAGCAGAGGCAGCAGCACAGGCCCCGATCGCCACCACAGCCACCACACCAACCCCAACTCCACCCCAGCTCAGCCTCCTGCCCCCTTGCTCTGACGAGCCTCCTTCGCCTCCAACCGAAGGCGCCGCGTCGTTCTTGACACCGTCCTGCCGTGGGCAGACCAGCAGCTGGGGACGGAGGTCGAGACCTCCTTGGCAGGTGTTGCCCTCCACCAGGCGGTATCCCCTCGTCTGCAGGTCGAGAGCTCGTCACGAATTTGCGGGGTACAGCTCAGCACAGGCCCACCTTCGTGTAGGTGCCCAGGCAGTTAGCTGGGGGATAGGTCGGCTTCTCCCTGCCGGCACAGGACCAGACACAGGAGGAGGAGGAGACGTTCTTGAGCGCCGCGCGCTTCTCACCAGCTCGCTCGTAGCAGAAGTCGCACTCGTAGTCTGCCTCCTGGCAGGGGCAGTTGCGCACAAGGGTTGACAGGCGGTTCTCCTTGCCGACGAAGCAGCGAGCTGTGGTCTTCCTCCTGACGTAATCGACCTGAGGAGGAGAGGATCAGACGGGACGGGAGGGAGGAGGGAGGAGTGGGAAAGAAGAAGTCGGGAGGGGGAGGGGGATGTGAAGGACAAGAGCGGATCGAGGGAAACAAGTGGGAAGTGTGGGAGATGGAGAAGGATGGAGTAAGCAGGATGCAGAGGAGGAAGCAGGGCACCTCAACAAGAAGAAGTGGAGCAGGAAGGGGACGAGAGTGCGAGAAGGAGGAAAGGAAGGGGGGCGGGAGGAAGAGAGGGAGAGGAGAAGAGGGAGGGAAGGGTGGGAGGAGGAGGAGGAGGACAGACCTGTCTTCCCATGACACAGATGTCTTGTTTCTCTCCTGACGGGCGCCACAGCGCGAAGTCCGAGCCAGGGTCACCAGCAAGGTCCACGTCCGAGCACTGGCGGGGGAAGAGCATAGAGAAATCTACGGAGAAGAAGTATGCCTCCTCCTCGCGCGGTACCGAGCCGTGCAGCAGGAAGTTGGAGCTGGCCACGCTTGGGTCACTCAGAACGTCCCTGACCTGACAAGTCGTCACCGGGCCTGACGTCAGCACACCGACCAGCTCACCTCCAGCTCAACGTCGGAGGAGAAGGAGCAAGTCTGAAAGCTTGCCCCCCCGTCGATGGAGAAGGAGATCTCGTTCGTCTCCTCTGAGTTATCTGCCAGCACCAGGATCGTTCCCTGGTCCCCGATGTCACCCACGCTCGTTCCTTTCCTTGCTCGCTCCCAACTCCTCCCCGCGTCTCTAGACACATACGTCGACGCCTCGTCCGTCCTTCCTGCCAACTCCGTCCCGACGTTGCCGACGCCGATCACAATCCCCACCGCCTTCTCGTTGCTCACCAGGGCACCGAAGCGCTCGTCCGCCTCCTTGTGTTGCCTTCTGTCCCACCTCCCAGGAGTTCCCTTCCTCTTGTGCCCCATGTGCAGGTGCAGCCCACAGTCTCTGCCCGTCGGCGTCACCCACCTTCCCTTCCTCTGGCTGTACTCGCATGCGAAGTCTCGGTCGTTGCCCGGAGGCTCCAGCGGGTGCCATTCGTTGCCGTTGTCGACGGATCGGAGGGTCCGCACGCGATTCTCAGCGTCGATGACGTTGGCGTGAAGGATTCCCCGCGGTCCCCGCAGGATGTGAAAGTCAACGTGGCCCACTGAGTCCCTCGTGTTATCCCGCAAGCTCATCACGTAGTCCTCTGCTCGAGCCCTCGTCACCCGGATATCGTCGATGTACGTCGCGTTGCAGAAGGAGGAGGAGGAGGAGGAGGAGGAGTGGGCTTGCAGCATGAGATGGACTCTGCTGATCGCTGCTCTCCCCGCATCTCTCCCTCCTTCTGCCCACACAAACTCGCTGTGCTGGCGAGGAAAGACGTACTCTACCCTCGTCCACTGATCGCTTGACTTTGACACCTTGTGGTGAACTCCCTTCTCCTCCTCCCCGCTCGCACTCCAGATGTAGCGACCAGGGAACCCATCGCTGAAGCCCTGCCATGCCACACCCAGGAACCAGAACGAGACCTTACAAGGGTAGGAGACGCTGCACGTGAAGCTCTCTAGCGAGAAGGCGTCTCCCTCCTCCCCGCATCCCGTCATCTTCATCACCTTCCCCCGACACGAGGAGCCTCCTGAGCAGAGGGGATCGTCGACGATCTTCGTACGAGAGGGCACAGCAGCAGCATGCTTGCCCCGCCATCGCGTCAGGCCTGACTCGAAGTCGTCCTTGAAGAGAACGTCCCCGTCCGCCACAGACGCATAGATGTCGCCGACTGTGATGGAGTCACTGGGCATGCCCTGGATGCTAGTTCCCTCCTCCTGCTTCGAGTGCTCTACGCTCACAAACACGGTCCCGTCGTCCTCGTCGATGATGGTGTAGCGCGTCTCCTGCAGCTCCGAGGGGAAGACGGCAGGGAGAAAGCTCTGCGCGTCGTCCCTGGATACGAAGAGCTGCATAGTCCCATGCTCCCCTGCCACAGCCACGTACACTCCACCTTGCGACACCTTGAAGCCGACGCCATGGCGGACAACCAACCGGATGTTCTCCTGGGTGCGGAGCATGTCGACGGAGCGGTAGAGGTTGAGATTCTTCATGCTCTGGAAGTACTGATCTCCGACATGCTCGTCGTCGTAGGCGCTGTAGACCACAGTGTTGTCTCGCGGGCCCCAGTCAAACTGCTGAACGTAGTTGACCTTCTCGTGGAAGGTAGTCCCCCAGTCGTAGCTGACGTAGAGAGAGTTGAAGCAGAAGCCTGTGTCCGACAGCCCAAGGCAAACGTCGCTCATTCTTGAAACAAGGAGGCAGTCGGGATTCTTCTTGTGAAGCTTGATCTCCCCGAGGGGAAATTCTGTCCTGCGGGTATGAAAGGACTGACCTCTGTCGTATGTTACCCAGTGCACTTTCCCTCCTCCTTTGAAAAACACTCTTCTCTCATCTGCATCACTAGGGTACATCTCCACCACTCCGTTGCTTGACTGCTCATCTTGAACTTCAGAGTCTTCAAGCTCTCCCATGACATTCTCGAACGTCCTGCCATCGTCCTTGCTTCTGTACAAGGTGTTCTCTTCCGTGAGGACAAAGACAACATTCTGGGTCAACCACACAACATCCTTGACAGCACCGTCCAGCTCAATCTCAGTGATCCGCAACCCCAAACTCTGACACGTCGCTACTGAGGATGATACAGCAGGAGCGAGGTGAAGACAGAGGAGCACCAGGATAGCATCAAGTCTCATCATAGCGGCGATGCCTGTTATCGGCTCAATTGGAGAGTAAGGGGAAATCGCATGAAACTTTTGATCCCTGGATTCACAAACAAGTCAGGACTCTCCAGCAGGTTAGGTCAGGTGAGAAAACTTCATGGAAAGGGAGCAGAGAACAATGGGAAAGCAACAGTGAAGAGATGGAATGAGAAAATAAGAAAACACGAGGTACGGAAAACTCAAAAACGTGAAAGAATCTGAACGATGTCCGTTGGGTGGGAGGGCAGTGGCAGAAGGAAAGGAGAAGATGAGAGGACGAGAGGAGAGAACAGAAGAAAGAGAGGAGGAGAGGAGAGGAGAGGAGACGAGAAGAGAGGAAAGGAGAGAAGAGGAGGAGGAGAAGAGGAAAGGAGAGGAGGAGAGGAGGACGACAAGGAGGACGACGAAGAGGACAAAAAGGACGAGGACGATGAGGTGGAGGTGGAGGTTAACAAGGAGGACGAGGAGCAAGAGGAGGAGCAGGATCAGGAACAGGAACAGGAGGAGGAGGTGAACGAGGAGGAGGAGGTGGTGGTGAACGACGACGACGACGACGAGGAGGAGGAGGAGGAGGAGGAGGAGGAGGAGGAGGAGGAGCAGGAGCAGGAGGTGGAGCAGGAGCAGGAGCAGGAGCAGGAGCAGGAGGGGCAGGGGCAGGGGCAGGGGCAGGAGCAGGAGCAGGAGTGTTGGGAGTGTTGGGGCGGGAGGGGATGCCAGCCATTGAGCTGATGACCAAGAGAACAAAGAGAACCAACAATCACTCAACTCTCATGAAATAAACTCTTCGAGCTCGCCTCATGATAAGAGATAGGGGCTTTGAAAGGACATCGGGCTCGACAGTGACTGTTGCCCTTGTTTAGGTCACCGGGTCACCGGGTGGTTAGCTCAGACGGAGCCTCGGCCGACTGCCAAGTTCGGAGTCCGATCGGATCAGATGATCCAGGGCCAGTGCGCGGCCGGGGCACCGCTGGGCCCGGACTCGCCGGGACCAGATAACCGTTAGGGCCGCCGGGCCGCCGGACCGTCAACTTGGCAGGCCGGGCTGAGTCCCGGGCCCGGGCCGGTCGGCCCGGCGGCCAGCCTCAATTTGAGTCCGTCCCGGGCGGACGTCGCCCGGATGCCAGCCTGCCTGCGTCTGAACTTCCGGCGGAAGTTGACATATGATTTCACTTTGTTAACTTCGAGTAAACTGACTGCCAGGGCTACTGAGTTTTACTTAACTTTGAGTAAACGTACGGTAGTTCCTGTAACGCGGGGGACCCTGACCTAACTAATAGGTACACTTCAAGAATCCACCATTACCATACTCTTTACTCAAAGTTACGTGAAAAATCAGTACTACCAATCATTTTCTTTACTCAAAGTTAAGTTAAAGATCAGTACGAATAATGCACGGTACCATCTAGTACTGAGTACGGTAGCCACCGGGTCCCCCTCCCGGCCCCCGGCCCCCGGTACTACCAGGAATTAACTTTCAACTTATAATGGCCAAGTGACTTGCGGCCCTTCAGTATCAGCGGGCCGGGGCCCCGGGTCGGAGTTTATTGAATGTTCCGCCGGGGCTCCGTCCCACGTGACTTCTGCGCCGTGACTGCCCTGAAGTGGTCGGACAGTAGTATGCGAAGGAGTCACGGGAAGGTACGAAGGGCCACGGTTTCGCAGCCTTGGTGGTCAGACTGCGACTTCTGAAAGTGAACCGACGCTGCAACCAACGGGGAAAAACAATTTTTGAATTCTCACCGTTGCATTTACGCAACTTTTCGCTTTTACTGAACCTACCCCACCCTCTATCCTCCTTTGATACCTTCGAGCCCATCCTCCTAGGGCAGCGCTTCCCCTCCTACACCATCACATACCTCAACACTGCTTCCACACAATGTCCTTGTTGACAGGTCTTCACGTCCGCCGCCCCTCCTCCCTCCTCCCCTTCCCCGCTGCCCGCCGCGCCCGACTCACTCCTCCTCAGCGTGCCGCCATCGTCATGATGGACTCTATCAAGAACCCCCAAGAGCGCCTGACTCACTCTCAAATGGCTCACATGCTCGGCACGACCCGCTCAGCCATCTCCAAGACCCTCCGCCCGCAGTGTGTGGCGAGGATCCAAGCCATGTATCCGCAGCTCTTCACGACGAGCGGGGTGAAGGAGACGCACGAGTTCTTCGCCCTCCACTCCTCCCAGCAGACCTCGCAGCTTGACCCCGAGGCCTGCCGTGCTGGCTCGCAAGGGCCGCCGGAGCAGTCCCAGCCACAGCCCCAGCCCCAGCCCCAGCCCCAGCCCCAGCCCCAGGCCCAGGCCCAGCCCGCGTACAAGACGGTGGACTTCATGGTGTGCATGGCGGAGGGTGTCTGCGAGGGCGTGTCAGTACGGCTGGAGGTAGACGGGGAGGGGCGGGTGGTGAGGGGGCATGGGGCGCTGGTGAGGGCGCTGGTGGAGGAGTACGAGCTGGTGCTGGGGTGCTGCGAGGAGAGCGTGGTGGTGTCGTACGAGGACTCGGACGGAGATCGGGTGGAGATGAGGTCGGACGAGGACTTGGCACAGGCGATGGAGAGCTATCCTTTCGGGTACGTGAGGGTGTACGTGCAGGGGAGAGGGGGAGGGGGAGGGAGCTGCGGGGGCGGGGAATGGATCGTAGGGGAGCCTCCGGCTCCGACGCGAACGTGAAGCGTTTCGGAGGATGAAGCATCAAAGAAAAACGATGATGAATGGCTTTCAGCGGTTGGAAGGTAGAAGGCCTTGTGTTCAACGTTGTTGCTGAGGCTTGGCCTGGACTCGGTATGTCTAATTATACACCCGGTTATCAACATAAGACGGCGGCGGGTTGAATTGAATATAAATACTTTGAAGTATGCTGATAATGATCTTTTCAAGTGTGATGATAAGAATCCTGACAATGGCTGAATTAGAAGTTCATGCAGCACACATGGGCGTCGGGATCACTATTAGCGGCTATCCTATTGTCTTTGAGGTCCTAAGACAGGGCTATCCGATGATCCGAGACACGTTGGGGTTCCGGACCAAGTCAACTGAGCCTCAGCCTCAGCAGTGACTGCAGCCTTGCGAACGGTTCAGCTGAGCCCGGACCGTGGCTGAGTCCGAGTCGGGCCGAGGCCCCGTGACTGTCCGACGGTCCGACGGTCGCATTTGGAATTTTGTTCCTTGAACGGAACATCGGTAGTTGACAGGCGGGTCATCCATCTAACCGGCATGGCCGGAAGGCCTGCAGGGGGGGAAGCGGGGGGGACGGCGGGGATTTCATGGCTGAGATGGCGAAGAAGGAGAGGACGGCTGGGGGAGATGCTGCTGAAGATGCTGATGACGACGATGACGATGGCTGTGCGAGGAGACGCTACATGTTCAGTGGATCCGCGACAGGAGCGAGTTAGAGGTGTAGTCGCTTCCGAGGTCGATTTGACATCAGTGCTCATATCATGGGATGGCAGAACAGGGGTGCTGTGCGCGAAGTATGTTCAGGTCCTGTGGAAGAGGCAGGACACGCTGTCATGGGAGGCAGGGGAGATCGTTGGGTCGTCAGTTGGAAGCATCAGAATCGGAGGGCTGGAAGGAGGGACTGTGTACAGTGTTAGAGTTCAGACTGTCACCAGTGATGGGTATGGGATACCGGAAGATGTAACGGTCGAAACAAGAGATTTCTTGAAGGCAACTAACTTGTTCGCAAGCACCGACAACAAGAGTACGAGCGCTACCTTGACCTGGTTGAACGCTACCATCAGCGAACAATACCTACAGTCGTTGTTATCCAGCGAGGATCAAGGTTTGACTTGGAACAATATTGTGGCGATTCCAGTTTGCAATCTCAACGGAAGTTATTGCACACAGACGGTGAACGGCCTCAAATCAATGCAGGCGTATCAATTTCGTGTTGAAACATCATTCAAAGACGCGAAGGGTGTTCTGCCAAGCATCCCTTCAAACAGAATAGTTATCCTTGATACATACCCGCCAGGCTCTGTCAGTCTTCAGTCTGTGAATTCAACTTCATTCTCGGTCACAATCACATGGACAGATCTTTCTCCCATCAGTTCAATCAAGCAACACCTGATAGAAATCATTCTCGCTTCACAACAATTCCCTGACCCCAATCCGATTTCATCATCCTCGTCCAACATTGCAACCTTGTCCAACCTACCGAAGAACACACAGTTCTCAGTCAGAGTGTCCATTGTAGACATCTACGAAAGGACATCTCTTCCCAGCCAGCCTCTCCTCATATCCACTCTTCCTACTCTCCCGGGAAAGATCAACTTGCCAACAGCAAACATTTCCAATCAGGTCATCGTGCTGACATGGATGTCATTGAAGTCAAACAACGAGACTGGAGGGCTGCCCATCCTCTCTTACAGGATTTATGGGAAGAGAAGCGATGAGACAAGCTTCACTCGCATTCTTGAGTTCACACCCTCTTCGTCGATCCAGCAGGTCACGTTACATTCTCTGTCCTCCCTCGCTGACGTTTGCAAGGCAGACTGCGAATGTTCAGTCCACCGTCGCTGGATTTGCCTATCAGTTCATAGTGACAGCGGTGAACTCAGTCGGGGAAGGGTTGCTGGGTACACCCTCAGTCAGTATCACTTCACCAATCTCTCCTATGATCAGCTCGCCGCATGTACTTTACATGTTCCAACGTTGCCTGCTGTGAATTCTGTTGGTTGCTCAGGTGAACATCATCACAAGCAAGGATTCGTGCGCTGCAAACGTCTCATGGGGATCCGTCTTTGTGCAGAGCCAGGGCTACATCGTTTCGATGCAGGTAGACTGAAGTTTCTCTGACTTCTGCAAGTAGTCAGCCTCAGAAACTGACTGCTGCTGTATCAGGACTTGTTTGCTGGGCAAGGTGTACCCTTTGATGCTGGGATTGTGCTGCCTGCAGACCAGCGGTCTTATCTGTACAGCAACTTGTCGCAAGGGTTCTTGTACACGTTCAGAGTTGTCCAGTTTGCGGATCATCAAACTGCCAGTCAGTACAGCATTCCGGTAAGAGAAAGAGACTCTGTTTGCTTCCATGACCTCTCGGAGCTTAACTTGCCTTCATGATTGACTTCATTGCTCTTGAAACTCCTTTCTCCTTCTCTTCCATCCTCCCTCTTCTCGTCATCCTCCCTCCTGCTTCTTGCTGACACCGATAGCCTCTTCCTCCTCTTCCTCCTCTTCCTCCTCTTCCTCCTCTTCCTCCTCTTCCTCCTCCTCTCGCTCGCACTCTAACCTTCCTCCTGCTCAGGTCACTGTAGAGACTCCAGACAGTAGCGCCCCGACGTCTGTCCGCGCGGACTCCTCGGGGCTGGCCATCACTGTCCAGTGGGTTGCTCCCTTGCTCGTGAATGACATCTCAATGTTCCAGGTGCCTCCTACTATCCTCGCTCCCTCCCTCGCTCCCTTCTGCTTCGCTCCCTCCCTCCTACCTACCTCCCTACCTACTTCCCTCCCTCCCTCCCTCCCTTCCTCCCTCCCTTCCTGATCTCACGCACCGTTCCATGCAGATCTTTCAGGTCGACGAGGCTGGTCAGATCACCATGCTGTCGACATCGTCCTCCACACTCTCCTTGACCGTACAAGGAGTTGTTGGCAAGCAGTACAAGTTTGCAGTGCAGACAAGATATGTCAACGGTGAGTCCTGGATGTGTTTGAGCTTCGTTGATTACAATCAACTCTTCCTTCCTTATCTCTGCTCCACTCCATTCTCCTGTCCTTCTCTTCGTTTCTCCCTCCTCCAACACCACTCGTAATTCTTTTCAAATCATCTCGTCTCGTTTCTCATTTCCTTTGACGTTTACATCCTTATCCTTTGATGTATTCTGTTGCTTACTCGTTGTCTTCTTTCTCTCCTCTCTCCTTCGCTCCTCTCTCCTCTCCTCTGTTCTTGACGTCTTCTCTCGCCTCCCCTGCTCCTCTCCTTCTATTCATCTTACCCTCTCCTTCATTGTCAACCAGGTAGCGGCTCTCGAGTCAGCTTGTGGTCTCCCAACGTCTCTATCCCAGCAACCGTTCCTCTTCCCGTCTCGGCCCCTACCCTCCAGCTCGTCTCCAGCTGCAGCAGGTGCATCCTAGTCTCTTGGACCTTCTCAAACGTCGCGCCTACCAATGGAGGAAACGCCAACGTCTCCTTCGAGGTCAAAATATGCCATAGCTCTCCCTCCTGCCGAGTTCCTCCTGCTTCCCTCCCTCCCCGCTGCTCCTGCCTGCCTCCCTGCCTGCCTCCCTGCCTGCCTCCCTGCCTCCCTCCCTGCCTGCCTCCCTGCCTGCCTGCCTGCCCCTTCCATTTTAGTGTCTATACGTGCTACTCCTTCCTTCGTGATTTTGATTCTACCATTCATTTTTCACCTCTTTTCCCTTCCCTCTCCTCCCTCTCTATCCTTCTCTCTCTTCCATTACCCACATCTTCTTCCCTCCCTCTCTCTCCCTGCCTTCTTCCCTCCCTCCGTCTGTCTGTCCGTCCCTCTCTTTCTTGTTTCCTCCCTCTCTTTCGTTTCTCCCTCCCTCTCTCCTCATCATTTTCCTGCCATGACGTCTTTGCTATACAGGTCCAGGACTCTGTCGACTCGATCACAGTCCCAACAGGCGACGTCCGCAGCGTCACGCTGACCAACCTCAGACCCAAGTTGTTTCATCAGATCGCAGTGCGAGTTAAGAACAACATTGGCTCCTCATCATGGAGTTCCTCCTCTTCCATCTTTCTCCCAGCCACCTACCCTGATGCTCCCACCAACTTGCAGGTTGTGGTTGGAAGCTACCAGGTGGTCAGCGGGATCATACAAGTCAGCCTTTCCTGGTCTGTTCCGCTGTCAGGGGATGATCAGAAGCTTGTTAGTTACCGCCTGTACAACACAACGATTCTCAATGATCTTGATCAAGGGACGGTGATCACTGTTGCCTACGGGAATGCGAACAATTTCACAGTGAAGAATCTTGTCGGGGGGATAGAGTACACTTTCCGTCTGAAAGCAATCAACAGTCAGAACTTGGAGGGGCCAAGCTCGAACTCAGTCTTCTTCGTTGCTGGCGAGGTTAGCGAACTCAGTCAACTCACTCTCCATATCATCATCATCATCATCATCATCATCATCATCATCATCATCATCATCATCATCATCATCATCATTTCGTTGACCTGTGTTGTCGTTCTTTCTGTGATTGCTACCCCTAACAGTTTCATTACACTTCCTCCGTGTTTATCTTCTTTCAACCCTCCTCCACTCTCTTCCTCTCTCCTCCTCTCTCCTCCCCATCTCCCTCTCTCCTCCCTCCCTCCCTCACTGACAGTTTGTCATAGGTTGCCCCTCTAGCCATGCCTGCTCCCTCTTACTCTGCCATCGCAAACCCTGATACCGGATCCTACTACAAGGTTCAAGTGTCTTGGGTAACGCCAACGTCAACAAGAGATGTAGGAGGAACAGCGTTGCTGAATCTTGTCCTCCAATACTCCAACCAGAGCTCGACTATCTCCCAGCCAAGCACCATCACAGACTGGAAGACACTGTGCACACCGGTCGACGCTTCTTATCCCTGCTTGTCGTCAGGCAAACTTTCCGTCGTCTCCTCCATACAGTTCATCGTCATCAAAGGGACTTACTACTACCTCCGCATCGCTGCTCAGAACTCAGTTGGGTTGGGAGCTTTCAGTGACGTGTTATCCATCCCTCCTTTCTTCACTGTCCCTACTCAACCTCCTGCTCCCAACCTGATCCCTGCCACCAACAATGGGGTCAGTGTGGGGTGGGAGAGCTATGACGCGGCCTGCAGCGGTTGCTACCTCAGCAAGACAGTCAACGGAGGAAGGGTGATCACGAACTTGCAAGTCATGATCAACCTAGGGGACGGAGTTTGGCGTATGCT